TCAAAATCTTGTGCCAGGCTCATCTGTCCCCTCCCATTGCTTTCACTCTCAATCTCTCTCTGCCTGTGGAGCAAAATGAAGTTCTCAACTACTTCTCCAATAGCATGCCTGCATGCCTCCATGCTCTCTGACTCAATGATAATGGACTAATCCTCTGGAAACATAAGCAAGCCCCCAATTAAATGCTTTCCTTTGTATGAGTGACCTGTGGTCATGGTGTCTGTTTACAACAGTAGAACAGTGACTAAGACATGGTTGTTGAATTGTTCTATCATAAAGTTAGAGAGCATTGAAATTCTCTGAAGGACTTGTTCTGCACCATTGTCCAGAATCAGCTGGCACACTAACTATGTTTTTTTTCTGAGCTGTACACCTTAAGCTAGAGAATTTTATTAGAGATAGTTTATCACAATAAACATTAGTTGCCCACATTTGTGAGGACATACTCCTAGGCTTATGTTCAGTTGATCTATTTATAGATTTGTCTTGTCAATGTATGTATCTATACCATCACCACAGTCTTTTTTTCCCCTCGGTTTTTTTTTTCTTTGAAGTCTTCATGGGGTTAGTCTGTCTTATTGACTTCAATTACTTTTTCAAAATTAATTTAGCTTCCAAGTTTCTTTACCTTGACCTATCAATCTAGAAGCAACCATTTGTGTGTGTGCATGTGTGTGTGTGTGTGTGTGTGTGTATGTACAATAGTTTCCAAAGTTTTACAAAACTATTTACAAAAGTTTCTGCTAGAAGGTTGCTAAGCATATTAGTTTGGCAATTATTGCTCTTACCTATTTTGGGTACTTCAATCCAAGACATGGCTCATCTTGTCCTTTTTTAGTTTCTCTCATCAACATTTTATAATATCGTGTGTAGAAAAAATTGTGTGCATCTTGTTAGATTTATATTATTTGGATTTGTGGTACTATGATAAATCACATATTTCAACATTTTAGGATGTAGCCAATACAGATATTTTGTGTCAATTTGATATCTTATAGCATATGCAAATATTGGTTCTATGTACTTTTTAATAAAATATATGGGTATTTCCAGTTAAATGATTAACAGAAGCATGTATATACATACACACATACACACACCCCACACACAATTTGCCAGTCAATCATCACTGTTCATATCTCCATCTGCTACTGACTGATCATAAAAATCCAGCATCCAAAATTCTGGTCAATGTATGTTTTCAGCACTACCATTCATCCTTCCTCTTTATCCAACTGTCTTTTAAAAAGTCAATGTTTCCTAATGAATGCCTCTCTTTCTTAAAAGTACCATCTGAGAACTCTATGTCCCGAGGGATGAACAGTCTCTCTCTGATTACTCCCAGCAATCTTGGTTTCTCTGGAAGTTTAGTTTAGATAAGAATGACATTAGCAGCTTGAACATACTAAAAATAACATTCAATATTGATCAACCAAGGTTGTTCTTTTCTTCCTAATAGAGCTGGAGGCCAAGTGGTATGACACAATCTTAGTGAGAACTGACTGAATGCAGAGCTGGTTGACATGGTTGCCATGGCTTTCTCTGCTGCATTTACTAACTTGACATTGTCTTTCCTATTGACTTTGGAATTTCTTCAAACTATATTATCAATTAATTCTGTTAGAATTAATAGAAATATTGTTTTAAAGATTATAGCTGTTCAATTGAATTCACATAACCCACACGATCCTTCTGGAAGCCTAAAGAGGTCATTGTGTGAAGCTGAAGCCTGGATTGTCCTGGAGACCTCAAGATGCTGGAGATGCCAGAGCTGTAGGATACCTGCCAAAGAAAGCTGCTAAAAGGGAGTGAAACCAGCCCATGAAAAACAGTTGTTTTGAAGTCAACAAAGCTGAAAGGAGTTGGAGATCTGAAAAGTGTTTTGACATCAGATATGGAGACACAGAGTTTAGAATTTGCCCAGGTGGTTTTTGATCTTGCTTTGGTTCATTATTTCCTCACTACGCTCCCTTCCCTATATTTTGTAATGGTAATACATTATATATCTTATGTCATTGTATGTGGAAGTATGTGATCTGCTTTTTTATTTGATTTTATAAAGGACTAAGAAATTGCATAAATCTTAGAAGAGCCTTTGAATTTAGACTTTTAAATAAGTTTGAGACTGTTATATGAGAATATAGAGTCTTTTGAAGTTGGAATAAATGCATTTTTGTATTATGGTGTGGCTACAAGCCTTTGGGGGCCAGGGAGTAGAATGTGGTTGTTTGAAAGAAAATGGCCCCCAAAGGGGGTGGCACTATTAGAAGATGTGGCCTTGTTGAAGTAGGTGTGGTCTTGTTAGAGGAAGTGTGTCACAGTGGAGATGGGCTTTGAGGTCTGATATATGCTCAAGAAACAGTCCAGTGTCTGAGTTCACTTTCTATTGCCTTTGGATCAAGATGTATGTACTCTCTGCTCCAGCACCATGTCTGCCTGCATGCTGCTTTGCTTCCCACCATGATGATAATGGACTAAACCTCTGAACTGTAAGCAGGCTACCTCAATTAAATGTTTTCTTTTATAAGAATTGCTGTGTGGAGTACTACTCAGCAGAGAAAAACAATGACATCATGAAATTTGCATGCAAATAGATGGAACTAGAAAATGTCATCCTGAGTGAGGTAACCCAGACTCAGAAGGACAAACATGGTATGTATCCACTAGTAAGTAGATACTAGATGTAAAGCAAAGGATAACCAGACAACAAGTCACAACTCCAGAGATGCTAGCTAACAAGGAAGACCCAAAGAGGGAGGCATAGATCACCCTGGGAAGGGGAAATAGATGAGCTCTCCATGAGTAAATTGGGGATGAGGAGGGGCAATGAAGGGTAGGGGATAGGAGATGAGAACATAAGGGAATGGGATATTTGAGCTGGAACAGGTATGGAGTGGGAAAGCAATGAAAGAAATACCATGATAGAGGGAGATATCATGGGGATAGAGAAAAACCCCATCCTAGGGAGTTGCCAGGAATCCCCAAGGATGACCCCAGCTTGGACTACTAGAAATAGTGGAGAGGGTGCCTGAACTGAACTGGTTTACCCCAGTGATCAGACCAGTGAATACCCTAACTGTCATCACAGAGCTTTTCTCCAATGACTGATGGAAGCAGATGCAGAGATCCACAGCTAAACATTAGGCAGAGCTCCAGAAGTCCAGTCAAAAAGAGAGAAGAGGGATTCTATGAGCAAGTGCATCAGGATCATGATGGGGAAACCTGCAGAGACGACCAAATCAAACTAGTGGGAACTCATGAAAGTTGGATCAATGGCTGTGGAGCCTGCATGGGACTAGACTAGGCCCTCTGCATGGCAAGACAATTGTGTAGTTTGATCTGTTTGCGGGGGGGGGGGGGGGGGGGGGGCTGGCGGTAGAATCAGAATCCATCCCTGGTGAGGGGGCTTTTGGGAGCCCACCACCTATGATGGGACACCTTGTGCAGCCTTGAGGAAGGGGGAAGGGCTTGGACTTGCCTCTACTAGATGTGACTCCCCATGGGAGGCCTTGCCTTCTTGTGCAGGGGAATCGGGTGGGTTAGAAGGGGGAGGCTGGTGGGGCGGGCGGAGGAGGAAAGAGGGGCCAGTTACTCAAACAATGCCATTAATGTGCCTTCTACATTTATATTTTTTTCATTTACTTTCAATATTCATTTAGGTATCCTGTTTCTTCACTGGTTTCTTCTAAATAAAGAAGACTTATCTAACCACGATTTACATTTCGTGGCTATTTTGGTGTCTTAATTATTTCTGAGAGAAAAGAGGCTAAGTGTATAATATTTAATTAGAGTAGACGAGTACTAATTCTTCTAAATCTGTGTGGTATTTAATAAAAAAACTCGATATAACCTATGTGGGGAAGACATAGGTAAATTCTGAAGTCTGTGTCATATACAGCAAGTCAGAAAAATAGGAAACCCTAGCCCCTGAAGGCTCAGTTTGTAGCTTATCTAAGTTAGTAATTAAAATCAGACAGGGTGTCTATGTATGTGTGGGCATGTATGAAAATGAGGACAAGTAATTCTGTATTTGTCTTTGAAGAGCAAAATGCACCATTATAAGAAAAAGCAAAAATTAGCATCCTTCCTGGCATATTCCAGAAATGATCTCATTTATATGAAAGAACTGCAAATGCGCACGATGTGCATTGGATTGGCAAGATCAATCCTAGACTGGCACGTGGCTGGGAATGGCTTTTATTTAACAGTCTCTGCTGAAATACTTGCCCTTTTTTATTCAAAGGTTTTTTGGTGTCTTCAAGACATCTTTAGTAAGAACAAGAAACCCAATTCTAGAAGGAACTGTGTGACCTGGTTCAACAGCTACACGGTGAAAAAGACAGCATGGTGGTCTTAGTCTTGCAGGCTTCTAGGTTTGGATAAACATGGATATCAAATATACTTGATATAGAACTATGCCTTATGGATAGTTATATGATATAGCTTAAGAACATGGTCTACCCTCTTGTGCATACCTATTTAGAGATACATCTTAAAGTAAAATGCTGTTATTACAAGTATTATAGGATGGGGCAGATATTTATGATATGGTACCTTCACCTACATTTTGAGAGTAAATAAAACTCCAGTATTAAACCTTAAGACAGATAATCTGAATATAAGTGTTTTAAAATTCTATAGAATGAGAAAATTGAGATGATGTCCTTTTGGTCTATCTAGTGGCATAGTTGCCTAACAATAACTGTAAAGAAAAAGTACTAAATAGAATCTGATGTAAAGTTATCAAGGAGAATATGTAACAACAATACAAAGAATCAATGAAGGGCTTTAGGGAAATTAGTGAGTAAATTAGGAACACTTTATAAGGCATATTAAAGAAAACATCAAAATATTATCTGTAGGAAAAACTTGAATTATACCTACCATTGAAAACATCCTTTATTTAATTTTGATTATTTTTTGAGATAATACTATAATGCATCATCTCTCCCTTCCCTTTCATCCTGCCAAACTGTCCCATAAATCCCTCTTTTTCTCTTTCAAATTTACGGCCTCTTTTTTTGAATTGTTATTACATACATATGTGTATATACATATATTCCTAAATATCACCTGTTCAATCTGTATAATGTTACTTGCATATATATTTTCACACTGGCCATTTGGCATTGAATAACCAATTGATGTGCTCTTCCCAGGGGAAACTAGAGTCTCTCCTTCTCGGCTTTCCTTGGCTGCCTGTAGTTCTTTGTGGAGAGTTGAGGCCCCCAGGCTACTTTGGCATGTCTAATATTGTTGTTCTTGTCCAGCACCCACTTCAACAGTCATGTTGGTACAACTCTATGTGTGGAGCTTCTGATCAGCTCCCAGTTCGGTAGTCATGTGGGTTCGACTCTGGGTGTGTAGCTTCTGAGACTTTGAGGAGGCACAGTGTCACAGCAAACTCTCTGATCCTGGACATGGGTGGAAGTGTTTGTATTTTGTGAAAACTAAACAATGAAAGATTTGAGAATGAACATGTACTTTGTCCATCCATTTAATCAGGCATGCTTTGGGAAGGAGTTACCATGTTGTGAGAGATGGGGAAAGGCCAAACTCTTCAAAAAGGATGTCGCCAAGAAGTGAGTGGTGATAAATAGATTCCCACTAATATAAGTTCTATTAATATAAATACTAGTGAATACTGTGATGCTGAATGCTGTAAGCAGAACTTAAGTGACTATATCTCAGGAGCATTACAACTGTAATTCTGTTTTGAAAGTAAAAATATTAGAGCAAGTGGATGACTTCAAAGGTTCATTTCATTCGGATGTTATTTTCCTGTCATGTTGAATTTCCTCTAATTTTATTGCTTTCTCTGATCCTATTGCTTTAGTTATAAAAAAATTCATTGATATTCTTTGTTTTTTTATTATCTGTATCAGATGAAAAAGTCTATCTCTACAATAGTGTCTCTCATTGCACCCACTTACTGTAGGAAAAAGGTATGATGAAGGAAACACACAGAGAAAATTGAATGTTCTCTTAGGATACCATCTCATTAAATGTGGAACTTGTATCAAAAGTTTCATGCCAATAAGACATCTTTGCCTTTTTATCAAACTAAAATATGCTTATTGTAAAAAGAATTTTAAAAAAATACTAGGAAGAATCAGAATAAATGAAGTAATTGCCCAAAAACCGAGTAATATTTTTTCACCTTTGCTTTCCTAAAGCAAAATTAGATGATATGTTATATTCTAGAATACTGGATAGGATATACACCACAGACGTGAGAATCACTGTTTCACAATACTGAAAACTAGACCCTGTTTTCTTCTTTCCCCCTCCCCCAAAGCTGCAATTGTCATCCCCACTTCAAGAAGTTTCAACTCTCTGCCTCTCCCTTCTGTTTTTGTCGTAAAAATATATATGGTCCTGTTAACCACTAAATGAGGAGTTCTTGTGTTAATGTCCCTTTACAATATTCTTCATTTTCAGCTAAAATGTTATGGTACAAGCTCAGCATGCCCAGAAGCATTTCTGTCTTCCACTTTTGTGGTGGTATTGTGTTCCCAAAAATATTGTGTACCCTAATAAACTTATCTGGGGTCAGAGAACAGAAAAGCCACTAGATACTTAGAATAGGCAGTGGTAGCACACGCCTTTAATCCTAGCATTCCAGAGGCAGAAATCCATGTGTTCAAGGATACAGCCAAGCATGGTGACTCACGCCTTTAATCCCAGAAAGCGGGCCTTTAATCCCAGGGAGTGGTGGTAGAAAGCAGGTATATAAGGTGTGAGGACCAGAAACTAGAAGCATTTGGCCTGGTTAAGCATTTGGCTGGTTAAGCATTCAGGCTTTTGAGCAGCACAGTTCAGCTGAGAGCCATTTGGATATGAGGACACAGAGGCTTCCATTCTGAGGAAACAAGATCAGCTGAGAAGTTGGCCAGGTGAGGTTAGCTGTGGCTTGTTCTGTCTCTCTGATCTTCCAGTGTTCACCCCAATACTTGGCTCCAGGTTTGTTTTTATTAAATATGACCATTTAAGATTCGTGCTACACACTTTAATCTCCATGACCTTGCATGGAGCATGCTTAGGAATGCCCATGTATAGGCTTCCTAAATAAATCCCAGTTCTCCCATCATTTTAGGTGAGTGTTGCTTTGGAAATAACTTCCATCTTCTCCCTACATGTTGAAAGTAATAAACTAGTCTCCACTCTTTTATGACTCAACTAAGCTTATCTTGGCTTTGCCCTCACCAAAATCTGAACCTATAGCATCTACTTAGTGTTCCAAGACACAGGTTGAGCTTAGGGATAGAGAAAAATGGATAGTACTATGGGTGGTGAGTTTAGAAGCAATGCTTTAGATCTCTAGCCTAGATGACTAGTCTGCCAGGACTTCAGACACAGCCAGATGCTTTTAAATATTTTTCCATGTGTATAGAAAAAAATAGCTGAAAGATGGGGTGGGAAAGATGGATGGATCTGATGTTACTTGATTACTGGTCAAATATTTTATAGAAGCCTGTAATCCCACCCTGTTTCCAACGCTCCCTTGACCCAGGGATAATCACAGGGCCACTTGTTCAAAAGCCTTTCTTCTACAATATGAATTCTGGTAGATTTTGCTGTTATTATTGTTAATGTAATCATCCAAAATATAGAATACCTCAATAGTTATTTATAACTTGTAAGGCATTTTCCGAATATTAGCTATACTGTATAGCATTATTTTAAGTGGTTTTGTGTCTGTATATAACTATTGTATGCAGGTGTAGTAGACATTGCTGGTGCCAGCCTACCAGCAATCTTTTCTCCTTTTTCTCATATTATAATCATGATTTGTGGTATTGTATATCCCCTAGGACACATTTCAAATGTATTCCAATTTTTTCATAGAACATCTGCCTGTGTTTTGAGGTTCACACTTTGCCAGTCTCCTTGAAAATAGAATTATCACATGACCTACTGCTGATAAATAAGAGGTAAGCCCAAGTCACAAAGGGTAGGGAAACTTCTTCTGTACAGTGAATAGAGACTTCCATTCACAGTCTACTTTTTCTTTTCTTTTTGCCATGTGACTTGAATCAGTGATTGATACTTTGTGGCCAAGAGAAGTAAGACTGAGACAATGCCATCAGATGCAGATGGCAGAGAACGAACATAGAAAGGGGCTGGCTCCTCTACAAGATCACAAAGGTGCTGAACTAAACCATGAACAGATACTCGGAGATGCACCAGAGGTTGCTGTGTGTACAGTTCATTCAAATCCAACCTACAGTGCTTCCAAATATTCCCTCCTAGCAGGGGAACTTTGGTGAGCAATTCTAAGGCTAAGTCTTAAGGCTGGAATTCAAAAGACATTATCATAGACAATTGAAAACATTAAGGCTTTTTGCCAAACTGCCTCCAAATATGATACCATTAGTTTATCATCAATCAAAAATAATAGAGACTCTTAAAAACGAAGTTGTGTTTATACTTATTTCCCTTAAAAGCCTGCACCTCTGCAGCTTCTTAGAAAGCTCACTGTCACGTCACTTTTCTGAGGATGTGTGGACAGGTGTTTGATCACTCCAGTTAGGGCACAGCTAAATAGAGGCTAAATAAAAGATTCCATCAGAGTCTAGTTTGGTTAACCAATGAGTTTATTGGAGCTATAAGTATGGATGACATAAGGTGAATATGTCAAATCAAAGTCCCACCCAGTGTGAATGATGACCTCATGAGCGTAGCAGTGGATTCCTACCTTCAGTTAACTTCTTATGTCCTTGGGCACCCCAAAGACCATGTGTATCTAGGGGTTAGAATGAAAGGGAAGAATCTAGTGACCTATCCCCCCTCCTACTGACTATCACTATTGTTTTGTTTATTTTATCACTCTACTTTAGGACTAAATCCTTCCAGAAAATCTGTCCATGCTGACTGAAGGCCAAGCCAGACTAGGAGAAAAATCGCTTCATTATAACACCCAAGGAAATGCAAAGAGTCAGTAAAGTCTGGAGAACATAAATCTAGAGTAGGTTATAAATAATATCTTCTACTTGTAAATGCATAAATACACAGGGAGAACTGCCTATGTTTATGGACTTACCTGTGGAAGAAATATTGACTGGCAAAACCAAGGATTGTAGCTATAGCACAGCACATCTCTGTGCCTTCTTTTCTGCCTGCTGCCACCTTCAGTGAACAGCCTAAAAACCTTAGTCACCAATGTCCCATCTGCCTAGTCTGCCTTCTTTGGTAAGAACCAAAAAGAGAAAGGCAAATGTGATTACTAACATACTGAGTGGATTGAATGACAGGGAAATATATACCTACCATGGACTGAGAGGGCCAGGCAAATATCAGGACAGCCTTCCCTAATAACTCAGTTAAAAACTAGACCTCAGTCTCTGCTACTTGGTACTGGGCAGACAGTTTCTGAGGAAGAGCCATGAATAAAAGACAATCAGTCTCCAACCCCCTGACAGCAAGGAGGAGGCTCCATAGTCAGCACATACTAGGCCAGCCAGCCTCGGCCACAACAGCTCAAAGTGATAATGACAAAGCGTGGGACTTGTCCAGGTCTGCCCCCAAATGGAAAAGCTATAGTCTAATCAGCCCCTGACTAGCCCTAGGCAATTAGAACATATTAATATGATTGCTACTTGCTTAAGCCAATCATATCCAAGATGACCTAACTGCCTTAGGAACTTCCCTTGGCTGTGCTTAAAAGTAGACCACGTGCGATGGTCAACCCCAGAATGCTGGAATAAACAACACTCTTGTTGATTGCTCACATGGATGGTGGTCTTTTATGGACTTCTGCAGGATCCTAACATGGACATCTACAGAGCTCAAGTCAATACCGTAGCATCCCATTTTTAGTTCTGTTAACTCAGATGTGAAAAGAGGTTGAAGGAGAGAGAAAACTTATTACATGCAGTCTTTGTTTGTTGACATCTGTTGATGGTTCTGCTTGACACACTAACTCTTCAGTGTTGACTGCATCTGTTTCTACCTGTTGGTCCACAAACTCAGATACATTTACAGTGAGTTCCTGTGGTATTTAATATCATTTTTCAAATATTCAGCTTCTTTGGCATTAGTTTACAGTAGGGGTATATGACATTTCCAAATGTCTATTGTAAGCTGAAATTGCAAGAGATAAGCCACACATGTCAAAGATCCTATAATACTGATTGGCTGGTTAGGACTTCCTGATTGTGGAAAGAGTTGGAACATTTCGCATTCAGAGACAAATTACCATGGACTAACTTTAATCCTCTGAGTAGTCCCATCTCTGTGTCTAACTTAACATACTTTCATCTATCTGGCAAGACTTTAAAATGTATTAACTCAGTAGACCACTAGTTTCCACCAACCCAAAAGTTCATGATGTTATTTGATAACACCTAAAATTGATAGCAATCCCCCTGCTTCACTGTAACCTGCTGCACCTTCCCATCAATGTATTAGAAAACTGCCATGATTAACAACTTCCATTGTATGGCTTTAATAGTGCAAGCAATTCCACATGGTAACATGCTATTCAGGGCAACTATAATCAAAGTTCCACGGCCATGGTCACTCATATTGGGCTCAGAATGAACTCAGGTGTTCTGAAGTGAGATGTGTTTTGTATCATCACTGTCAGTACTAACACCCAAGTTCCTTCCTGGTTGTTAAATCATGAGCACCTAAATTAATAAAAAGGTCCCACTTGCTTCTTGCTGTGCATTAATTCTGTATGTATTCTACATGCAAAGTGATGGTAAGGAATGAGGAAGGCTCAGAACCTAGGACAGGCACATGATTTCTTTTAGTCATTGAATTTATTGGCACAGATGTAAAAGACATGGGGAAGTTACGATATATAAACACATATAATAATATATATGATAACATATATACAAAATTATAAAAAAAACAAGAGTCTGGTAAAGCCAAGGAAAGAAAAGGTGTTCTTTATTTAAAATCATTTAACTTGACTGTTTGAAAGTGCTGTTGGCAAAAGAAACATGTTAAAGTCCTACTAAGTGCATTGAGGTGTATCAACCTGGGCTGTGACTTTGAGATGTTTAAGAATGGGTTGATAAAAAGCTACAAGCACACAAGGAAAGTTAACTGAGACTCCCACATAAGAAAGAGGTCACTCACAGACTGAAATAATTTGTCATAAGCCAGGGAACTTCCAGAATCTAGGAGAGAGGGTTTGACAAATCCCTTCAGAGACAGCACAACCTCTATGGCCACTTGAGCTGAGGCAATAATCTCCTATTGTTTTCAGATACCCAGACTATGGTCTTTGTCACAGGGGCCCTGGAAACTGCCACAACCGTGTCTTCCACCACAGTCCTCACCAACTGGCAGCAACCTTATGTGTTGGTTCACACACATTCTGTATCCCACAGATTTCTTCTCCTGAGATCAGAGACTATGTGATACTATTTTAGGTTCCATGGTTTGTAATGCATCCACAACTGGATGACCTATGAAACTCATCCTTGAGATATTTAAGGAACTATGTGGGACTGAAATGTAAATAATTTACAGACTTACTAAATGAGCCAATAATAAGTTATTTCAATGTTCAGGATTGATCTGCTGCAAATTCTGGGGATACTGGAGAACTGGCTAACGTGGTCCTTCTTATTGAGTTTGTATTCTGTAATAGAGAAAGATGAATGCAATGGAATAAGCAAGGTAAAGAATATAATGTAGGGTAATGTGGTAGCTAACGGGATTGTGTATCAAGCTTGCATGTATTGGTCAAGCAAGGTCAGGAATAAACTTGGTGAGTTTGGGCAGCATGGAAGTGTGGCATCAAATGAAAAAGGCAGAGGGTAGACAAAGGAAACTGAGAGGCACATGTGTTTAATTTCAAGAAACATTTGTAGCCCATATCAGGATCAGAACTGTGTGCTAAGAGCAATGAAAAGCCACCAAAAGGTCCTGAATTGCTTTTGAAAGAAACAACTTAGTTCTGTGTGGTAAATGGGCTGTAGTGGGAGAGGCAGAGGTTAATGGGAGGACTTTTATCTAGGGTGGTAACAGAAGTTGGGTGTTCATGGTAAGGCCAGGTGCTGAATGAGATAGAGAGGTACTAAACCATAAGACACCAGTACCAATTGTTGGGTTTCTCCATGACCTCTGACAGATACCACTCTGTTTATTGGCGGCCATTTTTGAACTGTCTCAAGATATTCTGAGATTAACAAAACCTTTTGGGGCTGGGTGAACTTGTAGCTCTCAGCAACCCAGAGTGTGCACAATACTCTTGCTTAGAGTGGAGCTGATGCCAGAACATGGATCAGTCAATACCAGGACTTTAGCTCACACGGAAAGTGGGTGGATTCTGGCTTTCATGGAGCTTCATCTATACTGGATATTGTTTATGGATTTCCAGCATTATAAAACAACACTGTGACTAGTTTCAATCACCTTTCCAGTTGCGCCTTTGCTTTTGACTTCATGTTAAATACTTCACACTTGTTACAAAATAATTCTCACTCTATCAAACAAGCCTCATGAAGTAACATTACCTTCCTTTGATAAACCAAGCAATTGAGAGCAATACTGTGGCCACAGAGCTGAAGCTAGGAAGTGGCCAAGCAGAGTTGTAACTTAGGTCTGTGCTACCTTTCATTTTTAGTTTCTTTTTCTTTGGCTTGTAAAGAGCTTTAGTAAATAATATGGTCTGTGAGAATAATTAAAAATGAGAATACAGAAATATTTTTATTTTAATTTGAAATGTGTTTTTCTGCAAAATATTATGTTTGTTTTACATGTGAATATGTATTCTCTATATAATATATGTACATATATATAATGTACATATAAAAATACAAGCATTTTCTATAAATGTATGTGGTAGACCCATATACCCCATGAAAACATAGGTTATTCATTCAGGGCAGAAGCAAAGTATCTTGATGATGTTCTTAGGTAACTTTGGTGACTTCAGATCTAATTAAGCGTTTTTACAATGCATGAACGCTTTTGGCCTATTGGAGAAGTGGGTTTCCTTACAGACAAAAGACAAAATTCCTTTTTTTAAAAAAACACTAAGTGGGCTGCCATTTTTATTGCTTGCTCTTCGTTCCCACTCACTGGGTGCTGAGAGAAATAAATCAAAGTGACAGAGAGCTGGAATGGAAATCAGGGTGTGCGAGCATTTTCATTGATAGAAGAATTCCTCAAAAAGATGGAAATGGAAGGAAAAAAAATGAAAGTCATTCTTATTGCTAATGAAATGTTTCCTTGCTGTCATGCAGTGTGTGGCGAGAAGAAAAATGACTTGGACTTCACCGGAAACTCAGACCACAGAACATTTTCAACCAGGTAATTAGGCTGATATGAGATGTCACAAGTGGTGATTGTTACAAAGGACTGCCTCTGAGATGCAAGCTCAGGATTAAAGGGTGTCTAGATGGCCAGGGCTCCACTTGCAATGCTGAGCCAATGACAGTGTCCAGCAAGATGCTCCTGAACCTACTGGAAATGCTGGTCCCCCCACCTCCACCCCAGGGACCTGACTTTGAAAATAAGGTTAAAAGATGATGGCTGTGGGCAAATGAAGCCGCTCTCTAGTGAGCAGCTGCCTGCCGTGTGGGATAAAGGAGCCCGTTCTTAGAAGGCAGCTGTTTGGAACTTTGTTAGTCAGCTGAGAGGAGAGTTGTTTCCTCTGTAGTTAGGCCTGAAAACTTCCCTGTTAACCCTGTGTTTGGATACAGAGAGAAAGAGAGAGTGGGGGGGAGGAGAGAGAGAGAGAGAGAGAGAGAGAGAGAGAGAGAGAGAGAGAGAGAGCTTTTTATTAAAGGAACACCATGCTTATATAGACATGTGACATTTTCTTTAATGGCAGCATGCATTTGAAAAGAACTTCACGTGTAAGGACACTTTGGGGGTCTCTAATGGAAGTTTTAATCCTGCACTTGCATTTCTATAGTCTGTGGATAGATTGTTGTTGGTACCTACATCACTTGCTGCTATTGCTCAGGGCTAGGACAAACCTCTCCATCAGTAATATTTTAACATTTCTAAAATTATATCAATGGATAGATTGAGAATATATATATATATATATATATATATATATATATATATATATATATAATTGCTACTTGTGTAAGATATCTACAGTAGTAATTCAGTGATAAATAAAATGTTCTTCAGTTAAAAGATCTTAGAATTTGATGAAGAGAATAGACACGCACCCATGAAAACTTGAGTCACAATGATGGCTCCTTGGTGGAAGTAGGCACAAAAGAGATTTGTGGTCCAGCTTTGGAAACTATAGGAAAGCATTTGAAAGAGTCAGAGTTGAACCGGCATCCAGAACTGCATACAGAGAAGACACTGGGAAATCAAGTAAATAGCTCATAAGATCGATAGAAGCAGGTTCAGAGACCACACAATTTGGAAGGATGACAGTAATATTATTGTTTGGTAAGATAATTTTGGCAAGAGGTAAAAATGAAGTATCCTCAAGTAGGGTAAATGCTGTGAAATTAATTTCGGCAGGAAATCTGCAAATATTAGCAATGCTTAGCAGTAAGAAATGGTGATTGCAACAAAGTCTTGGGAAGATGATGCTGTGGCTTTTCCGGGGGTAGAGATAAACCAGGTCAAAGGTCATAATGCCTGCACAACATAATATTATAATTGACAAGACACTGAGGTGAGACTCCTTATTAGTGCAGTGGCAGCAGAGATGGGATCATGAAGGTTGACGGTTAGCAGTTTTGTCTAGAGGGCCATGTGACAATGACTAGCTGATTGTGACAGATGAGGATCAGTACTAGAGGTGATGATCTTAGTGCCCTGAACATTAAGTGAGTAAGTTTGGATTTTAAGTGTGGGATGGAGGTACCAGAAAAGAAACTGGAGTCATCACAAGATAAAAAACCCAGGAAGACACTGTCCTTTTATTGTGGAGCCATCAAGGAAACAGGTACAGAAGCTAGAATATCAGAGAGCAGCAACCCTGGTCAATAGTGGTCCAGGCTGGGGGCGCTGCAGGCCAGGTGGATTGCAAACTCGCATGGTCCCAGGTGATAAAAGTAGGTTTAGATAATTGTGCTAGTACAACCCAAACAACAGTGAGTTGTGGAGGGAAAACTTAAGAACGGAAAGAAAATAAGCAGATACGGCTTTTCATAGCATTGGCCATTTGATATAACAGAGTATTGAATAGGAATCCAATCAAAAGGGATACATTTCAGTAGTTGGAACCTGTAAGTCAGGAAATCTGGTTAAACAGATAATAGAGATGTGAGAAACAGGATGATGCCTGAGCACTGAACATAGCTGGTTCTGCTCCTCCCTGACCTGCAGAGCAAGCAGTGACTTGGGTGTAGGGATTTGAGTTGGCCCACCCCAACATCTACCCATTCCATGAGCTGGTAGAGTGCAGAACCAAAACTGCAGGATCTCCATGACTCAGGGTAACAACAGGATATCCAAGAGGAGTCCCAGTGAGGATACAGTATTGATAGTATAGAAGAAGCTAGAAGCCTTGAATCAGTCCAAAGACTCATTGCAATGAACATTTGCAAGTAAAGTTGTTTGGGCAGAAGGGTACACTGGGTGACACATCACGACACACTGCAGCTTCCATAGTGATGCTTTTTTTTCCTATGGGGAGGGAGGTTGCAAGGGTGGAGGGCAGATTTGGAGGGACAGGGAGATGAATGATTGGGGTTCATAATGTGAAATTCACAAAGAATCAATTAAAAGTTGTTTTTTTTTAAAAAAAAGAAAAGACAGCAGTTTAAATTGATGATGATTCCAAGTCTCAAACAGCCAGAAGACAAAAAACACAGGTGATGAAGCAGAATGAGACAGAAGTAAGGAGACTCAGTAGAGGTGGGTGTCATTCAGAATGATGCCTCAAGAAGCTGGGGACAGGAAAGACACTATATACAGCATGGAGGATACCACCTCTATCAAGCTGAATGAAACATGGGTACACAGACATCCATATCTATATGTTTATGGATAAGGTTTTATAACTCAAAATTTAATACCGCTTTTCTTGTTCTTCAGAAAGAAAACTATATTTGAGAAAAAATAGGTTCCAAGTACTCAAATTGTTATTGTAACAATAATTAGTTGAATTGATGAAGATGAATTTTAATACATGAAAATAAAAACCAGTATTCCATGCATGCAATAGTTTTAAAATCGTCAAATTGCCAAAAGATTTTACATGCTGCCTGACCTCGATTGAGGCTAACAGCACAGCCCTGGACACCACTCAGGCAGGAGTCATTCTCCTGACCTGCTGCTAAAAATGCCTTCTTGACTTGATTCCTTGTTGAAGTCCTAGCCCAGAGAACTTTGTCCTACAGTTCATGCAATCATAGTTTCTTTCTGTTCAGACAAAAGCTTTAAAGAATATTTCTAGGTAGAATAAAAATGGATGGAAGAAATACATTTTCACTGGTAAAGTTTTTAAGCTTTTAATATTGAATTTGTATGCCTAAGGTCTATGTGTTAATTTACTGCTCTTAAGAATTTTTAAAATAAAATTAGGGTATTTATTGTGTGGTCCTGTGAACTCTGACACAATATTCTATTGCAGGAATATTACTGTTTTCTTTCCTAGCTTCCTCAAAGCCAGGGATTGTGAATGACTACAAGGGAGTGGGTCGGACTGAAGAAAACAAAGCAGGCTTTGGGGGCATTACAGGGCCAAAAGGAACTGAACTTTGGTAGCATTCATTACTTAGTCGAACCTTGTAGTTGAGATTTTTTTCTTTTTGAGACAGAATCTCACTATATTACCCTAGTTGGTCTGGAATTCTATGTGTACCAGGATGGCCTCCTTCCTCTACATCCTGAATGCTGGGATGCAGTTCAGATATTTAGGAAGCTTTTGACAGTCATGGGTATCACAGAGAGCAGTAATAAAGAAGCAAGCTAGTTGTCTGAGGCATGTTTTCATGTGGGGCTCAATGGTTTCAGTCCTGCATTGTTAACTGAAATGATAAAAAACAAACCCAAAACTTGTAGGTGTTAGGGAGCTGGCTCTGTGGGTAATGAGCTTGTGGGGCAAACATGAAGATCAGAATTTAAACCCCTGGCATATACATCATTATTGCTCAGCAGATGCATGCAGATCCTAGGAGAAAGCTGGCCAGTTAGACTAGCCTGCTCAATGAACTGTAACTCAAGTGAGAGACTCTGTGTCAAAATATAGGGTGGAGGGCAATTTAGGACATCCAATGTTAAACCCTGGCTTTCACATGCATGTGCATCCATGTGCCCACATACATGCAAATGCATACACATACACGGTGACTCTTACTTAAGAAATTGGTTTGCAGATACTTTGGAGTTATCAACTTGGAACAACTGAAGTACTGCTTGCTAGAGTATGGATGCTGTTTCATTTTGTTTATCATTTTGTATAGGTAAGGGAAGACTAACTTAAAAAAGATGCTCCTGTGTTTTCTTTCTCATTTTGTAGGGAAGCTGACTCATCATCACTGAGGCAGCAATGAAATTTGTCCCCTCCTAGGGCAGATGTTGTGGTTACTAACCCACTCTTTCATCAATGGCTTCCTGCAGTGGAACCAGTGTCAAGGGACAGATTCCGATGCCTCTCACCTGAAATTTATTTTTTATCAGAGTATCCAGGACCTGACAAATGGTGGGGCCAAGACCATCAGTGCTTTCAGCACCTACAAGGGGCCCATTTTCTACAGCTGACTCTTCCTGCACATTCTATCTGAAGCATGCAATTTAAGAATCTTGCTATATTATTTTGGAGGTTAAGCTGAGAGCTTCCTTGGGTAATTGGGGTCACCTTCATGTGGGCAGGAGTACATCTGAAGCAATTTCATTTTTTCTTTTCCATTCTCTGAAGATGTATTCAGAGATGGCAAGGAAGTCGAAAAGAATGCTCTGTTTTTTAACTGCTGTTGGTTAAATGCACAATGGCTTTGAATTTTTTTTGTGCCATCCATGTCTATAAAAGCATGTATATGTGCAGGATAGTTCATTTCAATCTTTTAAAAAATACCTTTAAATGTGTTTTAGAATCGATAGGATCCTCAAAAGTAACACCTTACGTCACCCTGCTCCCTTTGCCTCCGCTTCTGGCACTTGTGAGGACAGCAACAGAACTAACAGCGGTTCCTAAAGTTAACTCCTTCCCAAAGTTCAAGACTGGGCATTGAAGAACTAGGTTTCGGGAAAATTATTTTCTTTATAACTTAAAATACAAAGAATGTTTCATGTAATTTTATCCTGCACTTCATACTTTCCCTGTCTTGAAACCAACTGAAGACCTTACTTTGGAAACACTGCCAAGCTGTGGTTCTACAGAAACTGCATCTTCAATGTAGGAAGACTTAGCATTCAAACATCGGAAACAAATTGGATTGAAACCCTGTGGGAGAACACTGGTGGGTCTTCCTACCTGTTCTGTCTGTCTACTGGGGTACTATTTCTTTAAAACATAGTAATTTCTCAAAAACTAACACTTGGTTCCAGAAGCAAGGAAACCAGATAATGATGGAACAGAAGGGGAGAAAAGAAAGGTGTATGAGAGAGGAAAATAAAGACAAGTCTCAAAGTGAAGGAGT